GGTTGCTTTGAAGGTGGCCTCTTCCGTCTTGATTTCTGTGGATTCCCTGTGCGGTATGAGGGGTGGATTTGTGTCTAGTTATTCTATTCACGAATTGCAGTATCTTTTGATATAAGGACGCGTCTTTCTTCAGTTCTTGGCCATCCTCTTACAGTCTCTGTTAAGGTAAGTTAGGAATCCTTGGCCATCTCTTGGATTCTCATCTCTGCAGCTCTTATCCTGTTAGACAAAAGTTGACACCCTTCAAGCCATTTTCACTCTCCCTTAATGGCATTTTCAATTTTCAGACTAATTCCTTTGTCTGTACTGCTTTGGGGCAACATTCTTCAATCCTGCTTCCAGTTCACGAATCCTCTGCTTGATTCCTTTGTCTCTATAAAGCTTATCCAGTGTTTTGAAGTTTTTTGCATTAATGACTTTGCTTGACAATTCCAAATCTTTCAGTTTGCTCTTTTTCTTATCTACTTGATTTTTTTTTCATGAGTTCCTATGTCCCTACGTCTTTGAAATGTCAGCGAGTTTTTTTTTTTTTTTAAGATTTATTTATTTATCCATACAAGAACCGGGTACAGGCCAGATTCGTGGGAGGGTGAGAGGATTCACCAGAGACAGAGCGGGGAACAGAACAGGCAGATTGACTGAAACACACTGTGGAGGGGAGCAGCGGGGGTGACAGGAGAGGTCTGCCCCGCTATGTGGAATTCTTCCCGGCCTGTCGGGATCAAACCCACGCTGCAGAGGCTGTGGACAGCTTCATAGTGCTGAGCTCAACCGCCTGCACCACCAGGGGAGGCCCGTCAGCTACTTCTTGATTTATCATTTTGAACGTCCTGAAAAGGCTATGTGCCCAGCTTACACCTGTACCTGGCCATAGGTACAGAGCCCTGCACACTCACCATGGGGAAGCTTGGTCTGGACTGAGAAAACCACGTAGGATTAGTGAATGTGGTCTGACCTGTCATCATACTTAGAAAACACAGGCAATGTCATTAGAAAGTGACATTTGTGATCAGTGCAGTGTCAGAGACAGGGCACTCATCTGAGGGGCTTGCAAGGGAGGCACTCAGACTTTGCGAGCTTAGATCAGAGACAGTGGATCTGATTTCTCCTTGGGCAGATTTGCTGTGATTTCTCTGGATGCTTGTCTTGCATCCAGAGCCAAGAACCCTATTATTTTTGAACTGACTTAAATATTTTTTTCCACATTTGGGCAGAGCCACTGATTTGCCAGGAGAGGAGTGCAGCAGCATATAGTTAGGGTTCTCTCACGACAGGGGACTCTGCACCACTCATCTTTCCCTCCACCCTACGTTGACCACACTGCTCAATAAAAGTTTATGGGCTTACATTGTAAAGCGGTTGTTTAATATGTGAGTCATGACATAAATAAATGCTATATACCATGACTTACATATTTGAAGGATGCTGCAGTTGCCTTGGGAGTCTTCTCTGATTGAGCGATGTGACTATTACTCCAGAGGACATAAGGACCCCCTGCAATTGCTTTAGGGCCATTATATAAGTCACAATAAACTGTCCCAAGTCAACCCTGTGATCACATTTCACAAGTGTGCACCCTGTGTGTATAAATTTGTTCATTAGCTCTATAGCGGATAAAAATGAATTGTAAGGTAATACATATGGCTGTATCATATACTATTATTATGAAAGACAATATTAGCAAGACCTGTTAACACATCAAATCAACCCTCTTGCAACATTTGCAAAAATTCCTGTTCCCTTTACTGTTATCCAATTTAATAAAACAGCATTTGGCTTCCACTGAGGTTTCCAAATCTTTCAGTATTTGATAGGTCAACAATTATAATTGCATGTTGACTTTGCATTATACTGGTTTAATGATGTGTTAATACACACCAATCCTTGGATGGGACTTCCAACATGGCTGTTTTATAACTATCAACTGGCATATTAAAACTAACCTCAGTGCCGAGAAGGCCAATTGCTGGAGATACCTCATTAGCAAGAGGTCTGTTGAACGTGTGATTGGCACACACAGAATTAAGCTGGAAGTGAGCGACCAGAGACCCCTAAAACATCTAGCGAACAGTTAGTGTGCAAGGATCCTGGGTGAGTAGAAATACTTCCTGGAGAAGTTTGCCATTTTCTGGAAACCTATGTGAGTGGGTCCTTGGTGCAATTTCCTCTGTGTATGATGGGGTCAAAATCAGAAGTGGATAATTGTCTGAAATTGGAGAGTGGGCAAGTGGATACAGCAGAACGTGGAAAGGTGGGGAGAGGGAAGGGAAGCGGATCTAGGGAGAGTAAAAGGAATAAATACTGGCACAGGAAATAGAAAGCAAAGCAACAAAATGGAGAGTATAAGGGAGAGAATTTTGGGGAGAGGCAGAGGGTGAGGTGGAGATGGAAGAAATACAAAGGCGCTACTGCAAAATTCAGGACACCTCTTATCCGTGAGCCTTAGTTAAGCCAAGCTTCATACTGCGTGTTTAACTGCTACAGATCGGGCTGTCTATAAATATCAGGGGTGGGTGGACCCCAAGGCAGCCCTGGTAGTGCGCTGACCCTTACCCCCATTTGGAAAGGAGTTTCACTTTGGTTTAACTGGACTCTTCCAATCAAGGAATTCTTTGATTCACTGGGTCATTTATATTTTTCCTATAGTTGGGAGGAGTTCCCTGACTTGGGTATCTAATCTTTCCAAGGGAAATCCCAGGAAATTCCAGGAGGAAAACCTTGTTTCTTGGTCATTTTTGAATACTTCTCCTGCAGTGCTGAAGCTTCTTGGGGTCTAGGAGGGGCTATTCTGAGGGCTTCAAAGCCAAGGAGACGACAATGAGGGCAGTAAGAGTGGTCCCTGGTGCAACCAGCACCCATGTCATACCCGATCCCAGACACAAATACTTGCCCTCACAACTCCATGAGCCACGTGGTGAAAGTTCTGTTCTAGCCATACCCACAGCAGCGCCACATCAAACTTTACAAAGATCCTCGCCAAGCTGCAGACATTGCCTCCTCAGTCTGTACCTCTCCTGTTCCAAAGATAAAATGAAAAGGAGAGAAAACAGTTTCTGTATCACCATGGCAACCACCTGAAAACACCTGTGGCAAGGAAGAATTTGAAAAGCTGCAAACATCTTGTTTTCATTGACTTGTAGCTAGCTGTCCAAATATGTAAGTATGAGCAAAAAAAAAAAAAAGAAAAGAAAAGAAAAAATCACTGGGCCTCCCCTGGTGGTGCAGCAGTTGAGCACTGGGCTGCAAAGTGCCTGCAGCCTCTGCAGCTCTGGCTCGATCCCTGGCCGCCGGCGAGGGTCCCACATGGCATGACAGACCTCTCCTGCCGCACCCGCTGCTCCCCTCAGCAGTGTATTTCGTCAGTCTGCCTGTTCTGCTCCCTGCTCTGGCTCTGGGGAATTCTCTCACCCTCCCGCTCTTCTGACTGTACCCAGTGCTTGTATAAATAAATAAATAAATCTTAAAAAAAAAAATCATTGACTTTAGAGTACACTTTTATTACCCAGTATATACATCTTCTGGTGTCACCCCAAATTATTCTGAAAAGAATCTAAAAAATGTAAGTTGAAATTCTCCAAGGGTAAGTGCATAATCCTGCTTAGCTTAACGATGGGTATGTGATCTGAGAAAGTCACAGCTAGGCGATTTTGTCATGTGAATGCCACAGAGTGTAATTACACAGACCAGAAGGGATATACAGCCTACTACACCTCAAGGCTGCATGGCATAGCCGATTGTTAATAGTTAAGTGACACATGACTGTCTTCACTTAGCCTTGTGAAAACATGTGAACATGTTTTCTGCCTTGGTGAAACTTATTTTCTAGGTGGGAAAAAAGGCAAGTAAAACATTCACAAGAAGGTCAGTTGACAAACCCACAAGGAAGCCACCACCCGGGTGGCAGCTCCCTCTCACTCTGTTGTCTGGGATGCCAGGTTTGTCTGCCCAGCGGGGCTGTGGGCTCCTAAGCAGGTCTTGTTCCTTTGCGTTCTCTGTGTTCAGGAAGTGCCAGTTCCTAACAGAAGCCCATTCAACACTCACTGATGGCAGTGGATCAGGAGTCACGGCAGGGAGAACTTCTTAATTTCATCTACAATCTGGAATCCTCGGGGGTCACTCAGGAATTCAGGCTGCTTAGGAAGAAATGACAAAGCGTTGGGGCAGCTAGAAGTTAGCTGCTAGAGATCAGACCTCTCAGAGAAAGACGGAGAAATTGCCAGCAGCTGGCTGAATGAGAATGAACACAATCTGCAGTCTCCTGGCAACCTGGGGGCTGGGGGCCGTTTGTTGTCCGTAAAACAAAAGGTCTTTATTGCTGAAATTTCTGGGTGTTGCTGCAACATGAAAAGGAAATGCAGAGCTCCAAGTTTATAGGTGGGAGCTGTTTCTCCTTGAGGCTAGGGCGGGATGAAACTCCCACTCCAGGAGCAGGAATTGTCCTACCCCGCTCCATGTCGGGCTGTGGCCGTCCTGGGATGGTGGTGGGGTGTCCTTGCTGTGTCCCCCATCTGGGTGGCCAGCAAGGCCTCTGGCTCATCACTGCAAGGGCAGAGAGGTTATTTGGATTGTCAGTAGGGAGAAGCTGGGAGCTAAAGATCGGGGAGGTGTGACTGCAGGGAGCAGGTATCCATCTCGCAGAACTGGGGCTCTCTGCACCAGGGGTGGCTGCACCACCCTGGAACCAGGTGGCTTCACCAGATGCTCTGTGTAGACCTTCCTCTCTCCATTCAGTGTTTTGCAACCACACAGGGGTATGGCCCAGGACGGAATGACTTGCTAGCCCTCGCCTGGGGAGAAGCCCCCAGCCCTGCCCCCCGCACCCCCACCAGAGCTGCATTTACCAGTGACCTGTGACACTGTCCACAGCTGTGGTCAGCAGGCTGAGACTTCCTTGAGTCCAATTCCCAGGCCAGCTACGTGACCAATGTGGGGGAGGGGAGGAGGGGCCAGCCCAGCCCCCCACCCCATGTCAGCCCACAAGGACTGCTTTTCATCTTTTACTTCACAGACAGCTGAAAATTGTTATGGAAAAACATTTTATTAAACATATTCAACTTGCTTCCAATGAAATGATTAATTTTTCATTTACAATGGTGTCCAATGTTTGTCTTCTGCTCTTTTTTTTTTCTTTCATAACCATCACCAAAAGTACAATGAAGATACCACGGCTACAGTATGTAATGTAAGTTAGCTAGTGGAGAATATATACATTTGCCTCTGAAATAAAGAGAGCAGAGCGGTGAGAGCGTCATGTTCTTTCTCTCCCTGTGTCTGGTAATGACAAGCCCTGGTCAGCCAAGAGGGGTTCGTTTGCACCAATGAAAAGAGCACCGTGAGACTCTGAGCTCCTCACACGCTTGTGGCACCAGAAGGGTACAGTACACAGGTTGACAGTACAGGGTGTTCTTAACCATGAAAGAACGTCAAGCGGATTTAAGGTCTTCTGAGGAGAGAGTGCCCCAACGGCTTCAGCGACACCCATCACTGCCTGTGCCAGCCACCGGAGGATGGCTGGGAATTTCTGAGCAATGAATGGCTGAGCCACGCGCACTCAGAAAGACAGACTCTGGAGAACCATGGGGAGTGAATAGAGTCTGAATCCATCATTTGCATTCTGAGGCCATGGGGGTCTTGCCATGGGCCAGGTCTTACTCTGAAGATCCTAGGCCTGAGTTTGAGTCCTCAGAGGGTTGAAAAAGCACCAGGAGGGTGTGGGGGCCTTTCAGAGGCACTGGAGAAGGTGCGTGCCCAGCTCAGGTGGGCTCAGAGGCCAGCAGGCCCGGCGCCCTGGGTTTCTTAGCTCACAGTCCAGCTCTGCTGCTCAGAAGCTGCGATCTTTCTGTCATTTTGTGGTGAAGCGCAGCCCATTTGGGGCTAGGAGAAAACTAGTTCTCCAATAATCTGTGGGTTTTGTGGAATGGGGGCTTGGGATTCTGCAGGTGGCCAAGCCTGAGTTGGGGAGGATGAGTTTGGGGACCGGCCCTGGGGCAAGTGCTGGCAGTTTGGGGGCAGGGGCTGGGTGCCCCTCGTCCTCCCCACAGAGCACCTGACAGGTTGCTCAGCACTGCTGCTTGATTCATGTGGAACTGAAGAAATTCCCTGCCATGCAGCCACCTCTGACTCTGGGGTATTAAAACTGCAAATAGCACAGAGTGTGGCAGGGTTGAGAATGCAGACAGCAGAGAGTGGCTTCTTTTCCCCGTTTCTGATTTAAGCTAACCCTAAAGTTGTGACATCAAAAGAACAAAAACAGATACATAAACACAGTACCAATAAATCCAGAAGCACTGGGAGACGTGCCAGGGACATGCACCTAAGTGAGACCCCCACGGTACCAAGGTGGGGGTGGGTGGGCTCTCACAGTAAAGTCCTTGAACAAAAAGCACCCATCAAACACCCACCAAGTTGGCAAACAAAATAGGCCTCCTGGCATCTAGGGTCCCTGCTCCGGGGCAGTAGGGTCCTGCCATCTTCACCTGGCAAGGACAGGCTTCTGTTGCGAGGGGGGTGGGCATGCTAGGAGGGAGAGACTCTTGCATTTCTGAGCATTGCTGTTGTCCCACTGAGAACATGGTCAATGGTGACAGGGTGACAGCAGTGGGCACTGTGGGGTCTGGGCTGGGGACAGGATGAGTGGCTGTGCAGGGATTCGGGCTGGTGACACCATCCGTGTTCCTGGCCCAGTAGGCTGACCAGCCCCTGGAGGAAACTTTCCCTGGGCCAGGCCTTACTCTGAAGATCCCAGGGCTGAGCTTGAGTTCTCAGAGGGTTGAAAAAGCACCAACTTCAGAGAGATGGCCAAGGTCACTGGGATGCTACTTGCGAGATGCAAAGCTTTATGGCTAGCAGAGAGGCCCCCGGAAGGCGGAGCAGGAGCTCCCGAGACCCCTGGCCAAGCGGCCCTGAGCGCACCTGTAAGCCAGGAAGCAATAATCCCATTGCCAAAATGAGCATGCGTCCAGTCTCATAGCACCTTGAAGAAAGCGGTGGGCAGCAGAGATCTGAAAACGAGATGCCTCCCCAGTTCGAAACTGCCAGAACATGTGGCCCTGGCACCCGTTGGATGACACAGACTCAAGCTCTCAGGATGGAACTTCTGAGCCCCAGGAGCTAGAGAACAGGCCCGCAGAGACGGGCGGAGGCCAAGCACTGATTCGCGGGGTGTGGCCGGGCTCCGGCACCCCAGCCTTCTGTCCGTCTGCCCAGGGTGTGGCCGGCTTTCAGAATAAAGCCCGCTTTAGCCTAAAATGTCTCCTTTTTGGGTTATTATTCCCCCTGTGGTACATCAAGCACCAAAATTCAGACGTTGAAAGAAAGCCAAGACAGAAGCACCAGACGTCATCTCTCCCTCTGACAAGAGTCTGCCGGAGGTGTTCCCTTTGAGGTACATGGAACCTTAGAAGTGACAATTACTTTGTGACTGAGGCCTATTTTTTCCTTACTGCAGAAAGCCATCCAGTGGCTGTTAATATATTAAGTACAAAAGCACCAGCGGCCAACGTCAAGTCTACTCTCAAGGTCTACACAGTCGTTCGGAGTCTCGGGACAGCCTGGGAGTGGCGTGGCCTGGGGCCCTGGCCACGGGACTGGCGTGCTCGCGGTGGGTGGGCTTCCAAGTAGCCTTGTCATCAGGGCTCAGACCTCATGTCAGAGTGTCGCTCAGGGACCTCCGGGCCGGGTGTCAAGAGCTCGGTGGTGGTGGCGGCTGGCGCATCTTATTGGCATAGAAGTCCCTGCACGTCTGGCAGCAGCGCTGGTACCACCGCATGTCCTGACACAGGTTCTTCTCTCGGATGACCCGGCAGTACACTGTCCACTGGTCCCGCGTGCACTTGTAGGTCAGGGCGGCTAAGGAGGCGATGGGGAGAGAAAGCCCAGGGGTTACGGATAGCATGGAGGGCACGGAGCAGGCCTGGCAGGGGGCTGGGCCCTGGGGCTGCCTCGCCCACGTGCACCTGCAGCCGGGCACAGACTCAGGAATCAGGGACCCTGCCAGGGAGGCTGGCAGGTTGCTTTCTTCTACGGAGGATACACCTTGGTAGAGTGTGCTTGTCTGGCTTCTGAACTAAATGGCAGTGAATGCTATTTTGTGGTAGAGGATGCCAGCACTGTTGGCATTTATGAAACATTTATAAAACATTTATGAATGGCACAGGGCAGTGGGTGTCAGAAGACCTGCAAAAGTACAGGGACACAGCACATACAAGTGGCCTGCATCTCCTGCAGGGTTTTGGTGGTGCAGAACAAGGCCCCGCCCAAGATACCAAGGAGGTTTGGACTTGCAAAAACCTTGGGGGACCCTCTCCAAGTTCAGATCTCCCCAGTGAAGGTGCCAAGAAATCCCCTTCATAGTGGTGATGCTCCCACATTAGGGAAAAGGGCTACCGATGGGGGTATGCCCTAGGGATTTCTCTTTGGAAAAGTAGAAACTCTGTGCAAAGGAGTCATCAGGTCAGTGTTAAATGTCCCTCTTCCTCATGCCACCGCCGGCCTGGGGCACGGCCTGGTAAGAACAGATTCGGAGCACCAGGGCCAACCCACTCTCTGCCAAATTAAAAGTCTGCAAATCAGCAACACCTGTCTTCTCAAGCGTCAGCGCAGGGAACATCCCAGGTGCACAACACCAAGGCTTTGCGGATGACACCCCTAGACCTTTCATTTCTAGAAGACAGCCCCTCCCTCGACTCTCCTCATGGACGAGAATCCTCGAACATTTTCCCATGTGCCCATTTGTTGGCAGAGAGGTTAGTGGGATGAGACTGCAATTAGCAAACAGCTTTCATAAGGCAAGGGATGAAATCCCACCACCGAAACCTCCAATCTTCTACAGAACTGCCCAATGTTGGCCTCTCTAGGGCCAGGAGGGAGCCTCTGGCAGCGGGGACTCACCAACCATGGGGCACAGCATGCCCAGCAGCTGGGGGCCACTCACCGAGGCGAGGGGAGGTGATGGTATTCACATTGATCTTGTCGTTGCAGACCTCCTGGTGGCACTGTCTGTAGGCAGCTGGCTTGGCGAGGGCAGGGCACTCGTTGCCATGGCGCCCGGTGACCTTGTGCATGCACTGGACCACGCGGGACTGTAGGCCCTTCCCACAGGTGGATGAGCACTGCGGAGACAGGGACAGCCTGAGTTGGGGCGGGGGTGGGGGGCACTCCTGGGCCACAATGCAGCCCCTACATGTCATTCCCAGGTGACTGAAATTGCAGGATGAGAGGGACTGGCTGCCTACAGCTGCCTGATGGGTTATTACTGTTCAAGATTTTATGGTATTATGGACTCGATGTTTGCAGTCCCTCCCCACCCACACCTTGGAGCCCTAACCCCCAGTGGCATGATATTTGGAAGTGAGGCCCTTGGGAAGTATCTGGGTTTAGTTGAGGTCATGAGGGTGTGGCCCTGGGATGGGATTCATGTCCTTAGAAGAAGAAGAAAGAGACCAGAGCTCTCTTCTCCCTGCGTGGACACAGGTGAAGGCGGCCCTCAGCAGGCCAGGAAGCCTCATCGAGACATGGACTGGCCAGCGCCTTGACCTTGCACTCCTAGCTTCCAGAACTGTGAGAAATAAATGTCTGTTGTTTAGGGCCTCCAGCCTGCAGTATTTCATTGCAGCAGCCAGAGCTGAGACGAGGCAACTGCTGAAGTGTTAGGCTGGCTGCGTTTCACTCCTACCTTCTACCCTCATTGCAAGCAGAGAGTGGCACCCAAGAGGAACTGGGCCTGATGACCAGGGGGTCTTCTATTTATTTATGCATACAAGAACTGGGGCACAGGCCAGAGGTGCAGGGGGTGAGAGGATTCACCAGAGAGAGTGGGGAACAGAATTGGCAGATTGACTGAAATACACTGCTGAGGGGAGCAGTGGGCGAGTCAGGAGAGGTCTGCTGCACCATGTGGGTAGCTCCCTGGCTGGCCGGGTATTGAAGTCTGCTGCAGAGGCTGTGGATAGCTTCACAGTGTGGTGCTTAACCCTGAGTGCCACCAGGGAGGCCCCAATCAGGGGGTCTTCTATAATGAATGGGGTTGAGTTTCCCACAAGCCTGGAGGGTTGAAACCAGAACTAAGTAAAGAAAATAAGGAATTTTTAAAAAAAAACCTCTCCAGGTTGCAGTGGGGCAGCCAGAGGTGAGAACTTGAAACCTGCCCTTAATTTCCCAGTGTCCCCTGTGAAGCGTAAAGAGGCTCTTTTCTCACAAGTATCCTGTGCTGGGAGAATACACGCTCGTGTGGGCCTTTCCGGGGCTGGTGCCTGCAGGACTCAGCCCCGGGCCTCCCCCCACTGACTCCGCAAAGTCTGTCATCACCCAGAAGCCTGACCTTGGTGACTGGTTCACCTTGGCAAGGACCTTGACTCCTTGCCTCTCCCAGCTGTCAAACCACCCCTGTAAATAACACTAGATCCCAAAGATGTTCTGACAATTAACTAAAGAGTTGGTGACCATCTTGGTGAGAGGAATGTTTGATATGTGCGGGAGTCCTGGCTCCTTGAGACGGGCACAGTGGGGTCTCCTCACAGATTCTGGGGTAAGCAGGAGACATGACGCAGGATGGACCTTCATGCAATGCAACCACCCATGTTCCCACAGGGCTGTTCCTGGAGGGGCAGCTGGGGCAGAGGGAGAGAGGGGAGAGATAGAGAGGACACCCTTACAGTAACTCCATTTGTTCTGATTCTGAAAGGCACTTGGCTGGTGAAATGTCAACAGCTCTTCAAAGGCATTTTTGACAGATTTCTCCCCAGACTTGGCCTGAGTAATGCAAACCTCAGAAGCTGTTGAAACCTGAATAGCAGGTTTAAACAATAATGAAAATCCCCACTGTCTTTGCTCCAGTCTAGAAACTGGAAATGCTTTCATAGACAGACAGACAGACAGACAGACACACATACACACACACACACACACACGCGTGCTTCAATCAAACTTCTCAAGCTGCTTTTCCATCCCATCCTCGGCCTTAGCTTTGGGTTTCCCCATCCCCCTGACTTTACAGCCTTCCACCCTATAGATTCTGGGAACCCAAGGCCAACATGACTCCCGATGACCTCCAAGAGCCGGTTATCCCAAGAGCTCTTGATTCTGGTTGGCAAAACTGGGGCCTGGAGGAGACAGCAGGAGCTGCCAGTTTGTTGTCTTAGCTTTCCCGCCAGCAACTCTGCAGCACTGGCGCTGACACAAGGGGGCCCACTGCTGAGGCCTTGTACCTAGGCCTGTCTCCCTCCCAGAAACACAGGAAGGCCTCAGAGAGCCTTGTGGGGAAGGCACCCACACAGCAATATTGTGGGGAGAGGCTCTCCTTGACTTCATCCCTGGGTTCTGTTGCTTCTTTTGGGAGTGCCATCTCCTCAGTACAGCGGGAGATGTCTGGGCTCAGATGGGGAGACCTGGTCAGCCAGACCAGCCCCTCCACTGGCCTCCCTGCGCAGGAAGTCGCTGGTTGCTTTGATCTTTGCAGTAAAAGGGAACGTTTACATTTAACATGGAGCGCCAACAGTTTTCTCGAAAAACCCATCTATTATCATCCCTCCAGAAGAAGTTGCTTCTAATTAGAAACATCCCACCATTTCAGGCGTGATGAATGCCTCTGGTTAAAAGTCAGGCAGTTCTAGGAAGAAACACAATGTCTTCCTCTCTCATGTGAGGTGACATCTCCCTCCCCCTGGGTTGAGGAGTCTGTGGACCCAGTCCTGAGGGGGAGACATGGATGATTTGCACTGATCTGGAAACAGTTAGCACCCTGGAGGGCAGGCAGCTGTGGTCATCTCAGATTCTATCAAAGCCTGGGCAGCCCTGATAAGACTGAGTCAGAGCAGATTGGAACAGACTCTCCCTGGTGACTGAGCAATGTTCAATGGTGTGAGCACTGGTGGTGGATTAGAGGCAGAAGAAAGGGTTTAGCTGGCGAAGACTTAATCCCACCTACTAGCACCTTGAAAGCTCTCATCTCTGAGAAGCAGGCAGGGCCAGAGTTAGGTCCCCACTGCAGAGAGAGACACCGAGGGTCAGAGAGGTGACCACATATTAAGAGGTGGGACAGCATCGTAACTCGGCCCCTGGATGCCTCTATCATGTGACCCCAAGTTCAGTGGCATTTCTGCAAGAACCTTCCGATAAAGTTTCTCCTCCAATGTCAGGTTCATGCCCATAGTTCCCCAGTAAGTTCTCTGACATTCATGTGTTGGTTTTTGGAGAAACTGAACTGTTGGTCTTGGTTCTCGTGTTTTGGTCAGATTTTCCAATCAGGGAATAAATAGGATGGAGGTGCTTTTTGGTATTCCCCAAATTCACTGCTGTCCAGATGCTGCATTTCAGCACAGCCAGCAAGTGAGAACCTGAGAAATTTGGCTTTTACGCAGGCCAAGGGTCTGGAGGCTTTTGTATTCGGACTTGTGAGGGTGGCGTTTCCGCAAGAACCAGGTCCCGATAAATTTTGCTCTCCAACACTCAAACTATTCCTCTTTGCAGAAAGCAGCCGCACAAACCAAATTACCTGCCTGGGTGAGGCAGGTGAGTGGAAGCGTGACATGGCTGTGAGGAGCCCGGGGGTGGGGGGTGGGGGGCAGCCCCTGGTCACGCTGCTACATGGTCAAGTTGCCAGCTTTCTGTAGAGAGGCCAGAGCCTAAATTTTCAGGTGAAATTTTCCCATTTGAAATGTTAACCCTTTATGTTCTAAATGTTTAAGATACTATGTGGGTCCTGCAGAAGCCAGAGGCCCTCGAGCCCCTGGTTTGCAGCCTGTGAGTGAAGAGAAAGCAACAGAGTTTCGAGGTGCTAAACCCATGAGGAAACACCATCACGCTCTGTGTTCTCATTGGGTAGCTTTAGAAATGGTGCTGTTTGGGGGAAAAGCCTTTCCAGAAGTTGGATGATTCTCACATGTCACTGTGGTACTTCTGGCCATCCCCAGTAAATGGGCGTCAGGCAAAGATGCCAGGAGAATGCGTAAAGAAAGGTTAGACAGGGCCTCCCCGGTGGCGCAGCGGTTGAGCGCTGGGTTGCGAAGCTGCCCGAGGCCTCTGCAGCACCGGTTCAATCCCCGGCTGCTCCCCGGCCACGGGAGGAGGGTCCCACATGGCGCGCAGACCTCTCCTGCCGCCCGCTGCTCCCCTCAGCAGTGTACTTCGTCATTCTGCCTGTTCTGCTCCCTGCTCTGGCTCTGGTGAATTCTCTCACCCTCCCGTGCTTCTGACTGTACCCAGTGCTCGTATAAATAAATAAATAAATAAATAAATCTTAAAAAAACAAAAAAAAGAAAGGTTAGACAGCAAGGCTTCTTTCCCTCTTGTGATGGCTGTAAAGCAGCTGCTCCCATGGGGGTGGCTCACATGCTCTCTGAGATGGCTCATCCCTTCTCCTACCCCAAGCGTCCTGACCCACCCCCACAACCTCCAGGCACCCTCCCGAGGGTCCTGGAAGTGAATGGACTCCCTGCTTGCCCTCACACCCCTCCTCCTTGTTGCCAAAGTTCCCACAGGCTTAGAGATTCTCTCCATGGCTGGGTGGTCTAGTCCACTGCAGGATGCTGGGGTGCAGCGGGCATGCTGCATGGATGGCAGACAGGAACCTACAGCACCCCCCTTTGTGTTTTGGGGGTATTCAGCTTCCTTCCTATTGCACAGGCACGAGGTGGTGCAATCACTGGCAGGTACAGAGTTTGCAGACTGGGCTCACCTTATTGAGGGCTGACTCCCTGCCTCTTGGGGACCTTGAGCCCCCCGGGAGGGATGGAGATGCAAATGCGCTGGACTCACCTTGGACCAGTCCCCAGTTTTCCACTCGTAGCAGCCAGAGTAGTCCTGGCACTCCTGCTCAGCCCGCGGCCTCGTGGACGCATCGCATTTCCCTTGGGAGTTGGTACACGTCACCTTCCGCTTCTGTGTCCCTTTACCACAGTTGGCAGAACACTGCAAGACACGGTTTGGACATTTAATCTGGTGCAATTCAGCTCGAATCTACCTCTCCCCATTAAATCCACACGCCAGACCCAGTGCCAGAGGTGGGGTTGCTGTGCTTGCATCTTCAAAAAGCTCTTGGCCTTTGAGAGCCTGATGGACATCGTCCCAGCTGGGATGCTGGTCAAGTGGCCAGTGAAGGGACAGGGTCACAGGAGTCAGGAGTGGGATGAACTTGGGGCATTCAGCAGGTCAAAGTAGGGGAGTGGAATTTAGCGGCCCATTGCCAGGTTCAAAAGACCAATACGGGGCCTCCCTAGTGGTGCAAGGGGTTAAGCACAGCACTATGAAGCAATCTGCAGCCTCTGCAGCATGAGTTCAATCCCAGGCCGGTCAGGGAGCTACCCACATGGCGCAGCAGACCTCTCCTGTCTTGCCCACTGCTCCCTTCAGTAGTGTATTTCATTCAGTCTGCCTGTTCTGCTCCCCACTCTGTCTCTGGTGAATCCTCTCACCCCCTGCATCTCTGGCCTGTACCCCAGCTCTTGCATGCATAAATAAATCTTTTAAAAAAAAAGACCAACATAGTGGATGAGTCCAAAGGCAAATGATGTTGGGCTCATGATGGGGTGGGGGACAGGGGTGGGGCAGGGGGATCAGGAGAGAAAACTGAAGCAAAGAGGTCTGAGGCCCCCTCCCTGGTGGTGCAAGCAGTTAAGATGCAGCCTATGAAGCTGTCCACAGCCACTGCAGCACGAGTTCCATACCCAGCTGGCCAGGGAGCTACCCACATGGCACAGCAGACCTCTCCCGTCTCTCCCGCTGCTCCCCTTAGCAGTGGGTTTCAGTAGATCTGCCTGTTCTGCTCCCCACTCTGTCTCTGGTGAATCCTCTCACCCCCTCACACCTCTGGCCTGTACCCCAGTTCTTGTATGCATAAATAAATCTTTTTTTTTTAAAGGGGGGGGGGCGTCTAAGGCCCTGCTCTTCCAGCCCATGTGCTCTGCCAGAATGAAACTGACTGGTGCAGATTCCATTTCAGCATCTGGATCAGAGACACAGGTAGAGACAGAGAGGTAGTTCTTTAAATCTTGCTCCAATAATCTTGCATTTTCTAGTACTGATAGCTGATAATATCAGGCTTGGGTATTTTGGTAGGGAATCTTTTTTTTTTCCTATAAGAAAGAGCCTGAGCGGAAAATTTATGGTTTTGATCTGCTTGGAGCATAAATCTTGCTTGGATCAAAAGCCAGGTGATAAAGTCCCTAAGGCTCATGGTGGGGCGAAAGGGGGAGCAGCTGTATCTGCCCCTCCATGTTTCCCCCTCTCCCCAAAAGATCTTTGAATGTCAAACTTATAAACCTAAGTACATATAAATAAAACAAAATCAAGATTTTTACCTTTTCCTAGCATTTCATGAAGACTCAGGTCTTGAAGTGGACATATGTCAAGCTCTGCCTCAAAACTCAACCCAGGTTTCGAGCAGCCAAGGGCAGACTTTTCGTTCATTAAAAATGGGTTGAATTCTTTCTTATTGAAAATAATTCCAACTGTTTGGCAATAAGGAAGAAATTCAAAAATATTTTCCACACTGAAGAGTGTCTTGGATTTGTCTTTTCTGACTTTCTTAGAACACATTTGATGGAGGACCTGAGGGAAGCTTGTCTTTTGTTCAGCTATTTTTCTGTTTTATAGCCAAATAATCAAAATCATTAATGCAAAATCAGTGCAAAGCCTGGAAGGATGATAATACCAAAGATAAAATGATATTTCCAGGATCTGTCTTCAAAGTTAAGAATGAAAACTTAACTGGCCTCTTTCCAAGCTGTTTTTATGGCATGAGATTTTAACTCTGCCGTGTACACTAAGAGCTGTCCCTTTAGCCTCTGCCTGCCTCTTGCAATTGCAAAGACTGCTGTGGAATTAAAAGAAAGCCTTTGAAGGCATCGTCTCAAGCTGACCACATGACAGATCCAATTAGCCTCAAGGAAATGAAAAGGTATGTCTCTGTCCCATCTGCCTATCTACCTATCCATCTTATCTGTCTGTCCGTCCGTCTGTCCATCCATCCATCCATCCATCCATCCATCCATCCATCCATCCATCCATCCACATTTAATAAGAATTTTCTTAGGAAATGGAATCAAACATAATAAATAAATACATCATCAAAAACATAGTAACCATTTTCTTTGGTCCTGCTGCTATCTCAGATGGAATTTAAGAATCTGAGCAGAGCACAGCTTTGAGCAACAACTGTGACACGTGGGGATGTGTCACAAACACCAAACGTGAAAGCTATGGTGTTGGGGTCCCTGTGGCCTCGTCTCGAGACCCTGGTGATGACTTTGGTGGCAGTGGCAGGACAGACACATACCTGTGACCACTCAGACGCCTCCCAGATGGACAGACAGTCCTGACCTTCACAGCTCTGCACGGGCGCAGGTCGGGGCCCCTGGCAGTAGAGGGGCCGCGTGGTGACGTGTGTGCCATTCTGCAGCTGGTACACGCAGGTCACCTCCCGATGCTGGGCGCCCTTCTCACAGGTCGCTGAGCAGGGGCTCCAGGGGCCTGCCACCCACCTGCCAGGAGGACAAAAGACAGTGAGAGAACTGGGTGGGGAAGCTGGGTTCCTCCCAGGGCCTCCCAGATGGGTTATGGCATCTCCAGCCTGGGGTGGGAGGGGGGAAGAGCTGGAAACAGATGGAGAGAGCTTTGCAATAGAAACAAATACCTTCTCAAATATTTGAAGATGATTTTTTTTTACTCCCTTTATAAGTTTTTGCTTGACCAAAATAATTTGCATGTGGCAGACCCTCAGTCCTTTTCATTCTAATTCTCTAATCAGCCACTACTGTTCTTAAAATGGATTGCTTTATCCTGGACAGAAGGGACCAGGTGGGGTCTGAAAGCAGCAGGAGGGCATGAGGTCATTTCCTCTCCCTTTCAGTGGAAGTTTGGGGTTCATTATTGTTACCCAAGTCTACATTGCTTCCTTTTTTTTTTTTTAAAGACTTATTTATTTATTTATACAAGCACTGGGTACAGTCAGAAATGCCGGAGGGTGAGAGAATTCATCAGGGCCAGAGCGGGAAGCAAAACAGGCAGACTGACGAAATACACTGCTGAGGGGAGCAGCGGGCGCGGCAGGAGAGGTCTGCTTGCCGGTGCTGCAGAGGCTGCAGGCAGCTTCACAGCCCAGCGCTCAACCACTGAGCCACCAGGGGAGGCCCTACACTGCTTCCTTTTTAAGCCCCAGATGCACCTACTCCTCTGGCCCACTCTCACGGACTGACTTGCAGCCAGACCTCCCCGCCCTATCCTTCTGCATTGGCCTGTGTGACCGCAGGTGCCAGGCATTAGCTGGAGGGCTGTCCCCTGCTATTGTGTTGACCCCAACTGGGAAAACAGCCAGGTCCTATCTTATATTTGCTGTCCTACCCTGGAAAGTGGGGCCTCAATGCTCTATTCTTGGGAGAGCCGCCTGCCTGCAGGGGGCACTCCACAGGGCGCCCCACCTCCATTTCTGGACACACAACCAGAGCTTGTGCTCTAGGGAATGGAGGGGTGGGTGGAGGTCACATCCAGGACACCCTCGGTGGGATGGGGCATGGCTGGGAGCCAGTCACCAGCCCTGCCTCCTGGGGCCCAGCCTCCTGCCCCATCACTGCCTGGGAGAGTAAGAGCTTTTTTGTTTTATAGGAGGAATATAGGACAACCAAACAAAGGGCCAGAGAAGAAAAAAAAAAAAGAGAGTGAAAACTAGCAGGCAAATTATAGATCTGAGACATACAGTAGGGGAAGGGGAGGGAGGAGAGAAAATAGGAGGCCCCACTTTCCAGGGTGGGACAGCAAATATAAGACAGGACCTGGATTGGTGGCTGTTTTCCAGTTGGGGTCAACACAATAGCAGGGGACAGTCCTCCAGCTAACGCCTGGCACCTGTGGTCACACAGGCCAATGCAGAAGGGTAGGACGGGGGAGGTCTGGCTGCAAGTCAGTCCATGAGAGTGGGTGGAGGAGTAGGCACTAGCAGAGATGCATCTGGTGCTTAAAAAGGAAGCAGTGTAGGGGTCTCCCTGGTGTCGCAGTGGTTGAGCGCTGGGCTGCGAAGCTGCCCGCAGCCTCTGCAGTGCCGGTTCCATTCTTGGCTGCTGGGCGAGGGTCCCACATGGCGCGCAGACCTCTCCTGCCACCCGCTGCTCCCCTCAGCAGTGTACTTTGTTGGTCTGCTTGTTCTGTTCCCCTCTCTGGCTCTGGTGAATTCTCTCACCCTCCCGTGCTTCTGACTGTACCCCAGTGCTTGTATAAATAAATAAATAAATAAATCTTAAAAAACAAAAGGAAGCAGTGTAGACTTGGGTAACAATAATGAACTCCAAAGCAGGGGAGGGAAGAGCACAAGGGATATGGTGAAGGTTTACGGAGGAGGTGGTGATGGGAGATTTATGGGAATTACACTTGCGGGGAGAAATCAAATATTGCACAAAAATTAACAAAGATGTAAGGAAAAAAAAAAAAGAACTCAGATCTGTGGGGATCAGATTCACACAGCACTTGAGGGGCTGCAGGAGGCCTTCCAGATTCTTTTCTCCTTTGCCTCTGGGTGTCTCCCTTTTACCCCTGAGGGTGCTTTGCAAAACTATGACAGAAAGGAAAACAGCCCATGCATCCATCCTTCCCTTTCCAGAAGAATCCATTGACCCCTTGCAATTTCCTTCATCACCAGGGCCCAGGGCCTAGCAGCAGAATGGATGACATAGCCCCAGGCACAGGCAGATGTGTGTGAAGCCCACCTATGGCCTGCCTTGTTCTCCCAACGGGGGGCTCCTGCCTCCGAGAGCTGTGAAAAGGGGCTGCCCCTGCACCCCTCCTCAGAGCACTAAGATCATTGTCAGATGTATTGAAAAGTTCTCATTTCCTGGAGCCTGCTGGGATTCAAAACAAGCTCTGCCCAAAGCCCAAGCAGCCTCCTGACCCCACCACGTGGGACCTGGAATCTCACTGGATGATGCCATAGGGAAGAGGAGGGAGCACGGATACAGCCTACAATTAAAAGTGACAGTGCAGGGCAGCTCCTGGCGCATCCCAGCTGTGCCCCCCCAGCTCCGCCCTGCTCCCACTTGCAGCTGTGCATGGGGTTCTGGACACACAGATGCAAACACAGCATAACCCCCTGGGAGCCTGCAGCCAGCTGGGCCATCAGCATCCAAGGCTCACTGCTCAGGCAGAGATGAGCATGGGGGAGTGTGTGTGTGTGTGTGTGCGCGCGTGTGTGTGCGCGTGCGCACGTACGTGCTTGTGCGCGGGATAAGGAGGCACCTCAGTATGTCCTGGCGTCAGGCGGTCTGGGAGTCGGGGGAGGTAGTATCAGAGCTGAGTCTTGAAAGGTCAGCAGGGGTGGTTAGCTGTGAATGAACTTGGCCACTGTACACTGTTTCACTGAGGGGCTACTTGTCATCCTAATGCTGGACAGAATGCAGTGAAGGCTGGAGCAAAACCTCGCTGGTTCCAAGTCCAATAATTTGGGAAAGGAATTACAGTTCCATAAAACAATTTATATGACAATTAACAATGTAAATCTGATTTTTTAAAATTGTGTCCCCTAAAAAGCTTAACAGCAACATTTATTAGCCAAGTTTGAGTTAGCGGCTCTTCTTAAAAGCAATAAAACTGTAATTCTGGAGGATGCCACCATTAACACGTCCCTAATCCAGGCTCTGGCGGTGGGATGGACTGGACTTCCTTCTCTGTCCAGCACAGACTCAGCTCCTCTGGACATACTTCAAGTTCAATCATTCTAATCAGACCCTTTGGGCAGCGCCAGCACTGCATGAGATTTTTTTAAACTGCTGCTATCACAAGTTACCATACACTTAGTGACTCAAAATAAGACAGGTTTTGGGCCTCCCTGTTGGCACAAGGGGTTAAGACGCAGCACTATGAAGCTGTCCGCAGCCACTGCAGCACAAGTTCAATCCCCGGCCAGGGAGGTGACCCACATGGCGCAGCAGACCGCTCCTGACTCGCCTGCTGCTCCCCTCAGCAGTGGATTTCAGTAGATCCACCTGCTCCACTCCCCATTTGGTCTCTTTATTTTAGCTCAGGGGATTCACCCTCCACACCTCTGGCCGGTACTCCAGCTCTTTTATGTAAAAATAAAATCTTTAAAAAAATAACCACAAAACCCCAGCAGGTTTATTATCTTGCAGTTTTGGGGGCTGGAAATCTGACACAGATCTCAGTGGACTATACTGTCAGGGCTGGTTCCTTCTGTTTCCTTATCTTGTCCAGCTTCTAGGTGGGTGACTCCCCATTCATTAGGTGGTTCCTTCTTCTAGCTTCAAGGTAAAAAATGTCAGGCTGACTCCTCATATCATGTTGCTTCTCTTCTGCCTCCCTTGTCCACTTTTCAAAAAAAATTTTTAAAAGATTTATTTATGCATACAAAAACTGGGGTACAGGCCAGAAGTGTGGAGGGTGAGAGGCTCCACCAGAGACAGAGTAGGGAACAGAACAGGAGGAGTGACTGAACTACACTGCTAAGGGAAGCAGCGGGCGAGACAGGAGAGGTCTGCTGTGCCATGTGGGTAGCTCCCTGGCTGGGGATCAAACTTGTGCTGCAGTGGCTGCGGACTGCTTCATAGGTTGTGTCTTAACCCCTTGTGCCACCAGGGAAGCCCTCCCTCATCTACTTTTAAAGGTCTGTGGGATGACACTGGACCTGTTCAGACAGTCCAGGGTAATCACTCTGCTTTGGGCTGGCTGATTAGCAACCTGCATCCATTCTGGCCAGGGCTGCCAGAAAATGGACCACAAAATGGGAGGATCACAACAACAGAAATTTATTCTCTCACAGCCCTGCAGGCTGGAACTCAAACATCAAGATGTAGGGAGGAATGGTTCCATCTGAGGGCTCAGAGGAACCTAGACACCTTTCTCCTAGCTCGGTGGCCACCCACAGTCCTTGGCTTACAGACACATCACTTCAATTTCCACCTGTCTTCACCTGGTCATCTCCCTGCATCTCTCTGTCTTTCATGACATTTTCTTATAAGGACACCATTAAGGGTTCATTTTAATGGATTACATCTGTGAGGACCCTATTTCCAAAGATCACACTCTGAGATACTGAGGATGAGCATCTCAACATATGTCCTTGGGTGGGCACCATTTTAACCCATGACACAACTTTAGTTCCAGGGCCTCCCTGGTGGCTCAGCAGTTGAACGCTGGGTTGCGAGGCTGCCCACAGCCTCTGCAGTGCCGGTTCGATCCCCGGCCGCTGGCGAGGGTCCCACATGGTGCGCAGACCTCTCCTGCTACCCGTTGCTCCCCTCAGCAGTGTACTTCGTCAGTCTGCCTGCTCTGCTCCCCACTCTGGCTCTGGTGAATTCTCTCACCCTCCTGAGCTTCTGACTGTACCCAGTGCTTGTATAAATCAATCAATCAATCAATCAATCAATCAATTTTTAAAAAAAAAAACCAAAAAACTTTAGCTCCAGCTGCATCCTTAATGCCTCTTTGATGGGTAACCTCACATAGTCATGAGCTGCAGGGATTAGGATGTGATTAGATTAGA